TCGTTGTTAGGTTATGAGTTGGTTGTTAACCTTATGCATTGGTTGTGGAGGTTTTGAGTTAGTTGTTAAGGTTATGAGTTAGTTGTTAACCTTTATGAGATAGTTATGAGTTGGTTGGTAAGGTTATGAGTTGTTAATGTTATGAGTTGGTTGCTAATTTTAGTAGATATTTATGAGTTTTTGTTAGCCTTATGAGTTGGTTGTTGAGGTTACGGTTGGTTGTTACATATTAAAGTTTTTTCTCACTTTTACAGGACTATCCCGATAGAAAATTCATGATGCGCAGCTGCTACGCTCATCCAACTATGTAATGATGAGCGTGTTCCTAATGACAATCCAATTGGCGACTCGATCACGATGATATAAGACATGGTTAATAACCAAACCAAGATTCCAGTTGAGTGGCACACAACCATATGTGAAATTGGTTAGAAATTTGATAGTGCTGCTAATGTAAGCACTTCAGTACTACTTAATTGCGAAAAGGTTTGACTATGATTTTTACCATAATGAACAACGACGTATAAGAGTCTATTGTCGATTCAGGGACACGCTGGATTGCACTTGGATGTTGTTTGCTTCCTCACTCCGAAATTCCTCAATTATGTCTATAAAGAATTTTTGCTCTACCCACACTTGCGGTCAACATGGAGCTGATGCTGGTAGCTCAAGGGCATCAAGAAAGTTCATTGCAAGCCAAATACAATCTGTATTGAAGGTTAGGCTAGATATTCAGCTAATTAATATCAAGAACGATTTGTTCTCACATTACGGCTTCAATATGTTATATACAATATAATTCACAACTAATTTGTAGTCTTAACAACTATACAATATAATTCATAAGTAATAAAAAAGGTTTAACCTGTACAAGTTTGCTACTCCATCGCTGTGCTGGACACCTCTCATGTCAGCCTCTTATTGTTATATACAGTGAGGCTGCTGCATCGGGCATTGCTCAGCTCCTCTCTCAGCCTTCTCACTTGTGTAGACAGAGAAGTCATTTTTACAGATAGAGAAGTTATCTCTAGTCGGTCGGCAACACTCTGATCTTTATATTTCTTCTCATTGTCACGACGTAATTTTTGATTCACTATCGCGGTCCTCTTCCAATAACTCAGTTGTTGAGGCAATTCCATTTGATCAATTACCTCATTGTGCTGCTCGACCACTTCATCAATATTATGTGGCATAGTCTATACAATAGGCAGATAGAGTATTATTTTAAAAAATAATTAAAAAACCAAGATACAACAATAAGAACAAATTTATATAATTCACGATTACTATAATATTGACCCATCCTTCAAGATTGTTATCATCTTCTGATCCCCTTTTTCTTTTTGGTTTTGGGAATATGCTGTCTTTTGCTACATACCCTACCAATGTCTCTAGCACCCGGTCCCTATTCTTCTCCCCACTCTCTTTCTTCTTCTTTCTTCTTCTCTTTCTCCTTCTCCTGCTCCTTCCCTCGTAAACCTCTACCTGGTTCTTTAATAATATTTTCAAGACTTTGAACTTGGTCCTGAAACTGTGGAAACTTTATAGTAACTTGCTTAGCTTTAGCTACAACTATGACCAATATCATGGATTCCCTAACTTCTCCCAGTTTCACCCAATTTGTGAGGGGAGGCCGTCACATACTCCCTAATACTGGTTTCTTGATGCTAGTAAGTTCATAGTACCACAACTGCACATAAGAGAAATAAAATATGAACAACAAATCTATAACCTTAATAACAAATACGTAACCATAACAACAAAATCGTAACCTTAACAACTAAAATGTAGCCTTAACGATAAATATATAACCATAACAACAAAACCGTAACCTTAACAAACAAACTTTAACCTAAACAATAAATCTATAACATTAATAGCCAGCCTATAATGTTAACAACCAATTAACAGCCATAACAACAAGCTCGTAACCTTAACAACCAATCTGTAAGCTTAACGACCAAATTGTATACATAACAACTAATCTCTAACCCTAACAACTAACAACTATACTTAAGAACTAATCCCTAACCTTCACAATCAAGAATGCATAAAATTTACTCATTGCTCTAAACAATAAAAAGTAGGAATACTTACACAAACAAACTGGGTACACCTTTGTAGATATACAATCTTCTTTCCTGCTTTAGGACCCTTCAATGCCTTTTCGATTGCATCAATTGTCTCACTGAAAATATAGATCCCCGAGCAGTGTTATTTTCTTATTCGATGCTGTCAACATACTTGAACAAATGTCTTGGTATGCCATGAACACCGCTTGGACAATAGATCATGCTCACTTGATAGAGGATCTGTAGCAGGACAAAGTCCTTTACATATTGACGGTCGGTTGATTGTACAAGCTTTGTGAGTAGATCCTCAACATGGCGTTTTGTGGGTGCTGGAGGAGGAGCCTTACTGCTATCACCCTTAGGTTTGGTAAAAAACCTCGACCAAATTTGATTTTTCCAATCTCGATTGGGGCCAACAAAATTCCCCTCATTGGAGAATCATGTATGGCTCATTACCCAATCAAGATTGAATGAGTACTCGATGTCTTCTCTAGTTTTTATATCAGTAAAGACAAATTTTATCTTATTCTCGTCCCACTGTCTCAGCACGTGCTCGAAAGTGGGAAAATCAAAACTAGGAGGGCCAAAATGAACATAGTGTCTGAATACACTATCTTCATAGGCCTCCCAAAGCCTTTGTCACATATGCTACACTAAAGAATGGATAAATTCATAATAAATAGTAATGCTGGAAGTAGGTCGCAACTCTGATAGGGACTTTGCCCTTTGTCTTTAAAGTAAAACCACAAGACATAATTAGTTTGAAAATAATCTATAACCGTAACAATTATGTTGTAAACTTGACAAAGAAACTATAATCTTAACAACAAATCCATCAGCTTAACAATCATTCAATAACCTCAACAACCAATCAATAACCTTAAAAATAAAAACATTACCCTAACAACTAACAGGTCACAAGTTAATAGTAACATTCACAACTAACAGCAACAAGTCAACAGTAACCTCCACAACTAACAGCCACCCGTCACTAGTAACATTCACAACTAACAGCCACACGTCAACAGTAACCTTCACAACAGACTCATAACCTTAACAACTAATACTTAACCTTAACAACTAACACGCCACATGTTAACAGTAAACTTAACAACTAACAGTATCCTTTATAATAGATCTGTAACATTAACAACTAATGGATAACTTTAACAATTTATGAATGTTCTTGACAATTACAACCTAACATTCACAACTTAATTGTAACCTTTACAATTAACACAACATGCAACATCATAAACAACTAAATTATGCGGTAAAAAATCTTTTCTTTTGGGTTGTCATATGCGTCTCTTCCATTCCTCTCCTATTCGTTCCTCTCTTTAGAACCAGGAGCGCTCTAGAGACATCATCGGTGCTGGTGCTTCCCTCTAGATCTATGTGTTGAACTGGGTTTTTGGGTTGAGCTGGACTTGTGGGAGGAGGGTGACTATCTGCGACGTCCTCTAGAACATCAGCAATTGATGTGTCAGCTTCAGTCTACTCTGCTGCGCTCGAATGTCTTTTTGCGACGACGTACCGTGATGCGTTGTCATCTTTGCTGAAATCGACAGGGACGACTGCTTTGGGAGTTGACTTTTTGGCCATTTTTCGATCAAGGTGTAGGATTTCGCTCTAGGGTGGGTTGATTTAGGGTTAGGGTTTTGAAACGGGATGACCGGTTCGCTTGGACAGAAGAGAGATTGGCTGACACGATTGACAAGGAGTAGTATTGAGAAGTGGGAGGTTGTTAAATCAAAGGGCATTGTGGAAAATTTTAAACATCCGGTAACGTGAGAACGGGTTTTGAGGGCTAAAGGAATACAAAAAATTCTTTTAGGGGATTTGGGATCGTTGAAAATGTCTCCTCGGCGTTCGGTTTTTGCATCGCGGGTCTGATCTCAACGTTTTGACTTAAGACATGGAAGTGGCTTCCTTGTATTTTTGACTAAGTCTTTGAGACTCGTCTTTGGCGCATCTGTTTTAAGTCTCGACTCATATCCATTAAGCTGATGGGCCTGCAAATGTGCGTAGGATTTTTGGCAAACCCTCAGCCATCAACGGATTTGATAAGCCTTTACCGACTACCGTTTGAGTCGGGCTAGCATGTGGATTGTCTAAGTCTACGGTTTTGGGGCTAGAAGCAAATTTCCGTTGTTTTTAACAAAGTGTTATCCAACATATATCGAGTAGACCGATCCAAGTGAAACTAATTCGGTTCAGTTAAAAAAATAGTTTGGTTTAATTCTGTCAAATTTAGTCAAAATTGAGCAAACCGATCGCTTATCCACCCCTGCTTTAGACACAATTCTGAGTTCTCCAAGTTTGTCTCAGTTTCTTAGATAGTAACATTAATGCTAAACATGACTATAAATACTTGATTATTATGCATACCTGGATATAAAATTTCTTACTCGAGGATAAGTATGCATCAGCAAATTGGCTAAATTTCAAAAAATATTTGTATACAACTCTCTGCAATGAATTCCTCCAATACAAGACAGAGTTGCAAATAGTATGGTACCAGCATGCCAACCTTTCTAAGTGTGTATTTGGAGCATGCCCAACCTTTCTAAGCGTGTATTGGCAATCATCAAATAATTAGGCCAGGTTCACTCTTGACCCAATTTTATTCTAAACCAGTATAGTATTGGACCAGAAGGATGGTGGTCCAACACTAAACTCGTTTAATAGTCTCTTTTTGGCCTAAAAAACTAGGCTAGAACTGGTCCGTATTTTACCAATCAAAAGCAAACCAAAAATTGAGCTAAGTTTATTCCTGACCAACTTTTAAGAGTTTGCCAAACACACCCTAAAGAGAGTCGAGATAATAATGATGGTTGTGAGCATAAAGGAC